GCCTCTCACTGCTGTGGTCTCTCCCGTTGCGGAGCACAGGCTCCGGACGCGCAGGCTCAGCAGCCATGGCTCACGGGCCCAGCCGCTCCGCGTCATGTGGGATCTTCCCGGACCGGGGCACGAACCCGCGTCCCCTGCATCGGCAGGCGGATTCTCAACCACTGTGCCACCAGGGGAGCCCTCCTTTCTGTCTTTTAGGGGACACTCCTGATGTCCCACCCAGATCCCCTCAGATCCGTTGTACCAGGCTCCACACACACATCCCTAGCTTCTGGGTGCTTTTCTGCTAATGGCTTGCACCTATGACCTTCATAGATTTGCCTTTAGCATTGGAGGCCAAGACATGCCTTGCGGTGTGCCTCCCCTGACCCTCAGTTAAATCTGAATTTCAGATAAACAATCAAGAAGTTTTTAGTACAAAAATATACTACTATTTACGTAGTATATGAAAATAAGATTTCATAAAACATGCTTTTTAAAAAGTTCTTTATCTGGAACTAAAACTCACCTGGGCATCCTGTGTCATTACTTGCTAAATATGGAAACCCTGTCTAAGGGAACCTACAGACAGTGACTGATTGGGACAGAAGTGCAATGGTCCAGCTGCTCAAAATGGAAAAACCTGGAGTCACTTTATGTTCCAGAATCCCTTGCAGCTTCAAGCTGAGTTCTGAAACTCAGACCTCACCTGAGATAGCACATTGCTCATCTTCCTCCGTTTCTTTATTGTGTCTTTCTTATTCCCTTACTCGATCCTCCTGGAATCACTTCAATTAACAAATTCCTCACTTAGGAATCCTTGCCTGAGGGTTCGTTTCTAGGAGAGTATGATTTAAGATAGATATCTCGCAAATCACACCGTATCAACAAGTCATCAGAGCATGAAAGGAGTTAGGAATCACTGCCTTGAAGAGCATTCTGTTTATTAATTATAGTTCACATTTACATTCTTTTTAAAAAATCTCATCTGCCTCATGTGTCAAGTACCTAGCAACCAGTGAAGAGCCATTTGCCATGTTCCTCTGAGAGGCTGCTGAGGCTTGACTAAGCCATTCACACATTTCCCTGCTTTGAAACTACTGAAAAGAAATAAACTCTAACCAGGCATCTACTGAAACATCATTTCTACTCTGATATGTTATGAGTTTTAAAAAAAGGATGCCCAAGCCCAACTGCTTCAGGAAAACAGCAACAAACTATGAAGAAACATGCACTGAGGAAGAGAAAGGGGAATTAATTGCTAAGATAGGTCAGGTAATAGACCAAAGAGACCAGAATCTTGCAATTCTCTTTTGGGGACCTTGCTGTTCCATATTAAAAATGATTTATAGGGGAGGCTGCAATTCTGCTTGCAGAACCTAAGGAGAAAAGAGTCTGCCAGTTTTACCACTTGGCTTTGCAGAATTATTGCAGCTCCAAGCAAACAAAAAGGAGCTAACTTCTTTATGTGATGGGAGTGAAGAAAAGATGGGCCACCTCCTGCCCCAACTTTTCTAAGGAATAATTTTGGGATAAGGTAATTCATCTTGCCGTGGCAGTCCACTAATGAGTCGTCACTGTGATAAATACATGTTCTAGGAAAAGGACATGTTGTTCTACTGATCTCCCAAACATCCTGACTCTCTTCCTTCATGCGAAAACATTGTTCTTGGCATGCTTCAGCCAAAGCACCCTGACTGCTATATTCTATCTATAAACCATCTCAGGTATTTACAATTTAAAATATAAAATCTACTTAGGGACGACCTTCCAGTTTACAACAAGAAAACCCCTGGGTCAATACACCAGTCTTTGGTGAAACACGTCCACATGGCTTTATAGCTTTAACTGCATGGGTCCGTTTATACACGGACTCTTTTCCCACAGTAAATACTATAGTACTACACGATACACAGTTGGGTGAAGCCTTGGATACAGAGGAACCATGGATAGAGAGGGCTGACTGTCAAGTTATACTCGGATTTTTGACTGGGCAAAGTGTGTGTGTTGGGGGGTGGTCGGCGCCCCTAACCCCTGTGTTATTCCAGGGTCAACTGTATTTATACCCAGCAGTAGTTAAGACACAAGGAATAAACCTAGGCAGGTAGATTCTGAAAGAACGGCGTAAGCAATGTGATACTGGAGAGCATGCCCCTTACACTTGTTGAGTAACTGTAAGACAAATTAACTTAAAATGGAATAATTTAATGTTTGTTGGCCCAGGAGACTTTAAGTGTTTTTAACGGGGGACTCCATCTTTCTTCATTATATATATATATATATTTTCCCTTTTAAATGCCAGCCTGAAATATGAGCGAAGAGGGCTCCCTCCATTGAGTCCCCATGAGGCTGAACAAAAACAGCAACACTAAGCCAGTTGCTTATCATCTCTAAATAATCTTGATCACTGTCTGAGAGTCAGGAATTCAGCAATCAAAACCAAAAATGAGTTTTCTTTAAAGTTTTTGTGGGACACGACAGGGGGCTACCCCAAGGGAAGTCAAAGGAAATGACTTCAAGGACAAACGCAACCAGGGTTTAAAGTATTTTTTTATCATAAAGGAAATAAACCTACATTCTTAAAAATTTGGAAAAGAGTGAATACAGTGATAATCTTTTGGTAGTGGATGAGAAGCGATTTATTTTATGCTTATTTTTTTCTGTGCAGTTTTACATCAA